ATGTATATATACCCGCCTCCTCGTTTCGCCGACGAAGTAAAGGACATCATAAAGCGCTATATATATATTTATATAAATGATTCGCTATCGTTAGTTATTTGCTTATATCAACCACCTTATCTTTCACTCAGGATTTCATAGATAAGTGGAGGTACAATGCGAAACGGAGTTCTCTCGCTCAGTCAAAGATTAAAATATTAGGTAAGAGACTCAAAAGTTGTCAGCGCGAGTGTCCCTGGCATCTTAAAAGCCTTGTTAATATACATCTGCCTTTGTGAACGGGACTTTGTCATACATACCATTCCAAACACCACACGTTAGAATACACACAACCAACAGATCCTAACACATCAAAAAAATTCGGATAACTCACCCATTGCGACTACTACGCTCATTCCATACCTATCAATCCCCATTACCAACCCAAACGTTCCACAGAGAAGCTGCCAGTGCTGCGACCAGTGGTGCCTGAGACCACAATTAAGTTTAGGTTCAAAGAACCAGAACAACTGACCCCGCCCATTCTGCAGTTGCAAGAGGTGCACTTCCGATATTCAGAGGACGGGCCCTGGATTCTGCGCGGGATCGATTTTGGGGTGCGAATGGAGTCCCGTTTGGGAATTATGGGTGTCAATGGGTCTGGTAGGTGAGATTGGATTGGATTGTAGCGATCGTATAGGACGTATATGTATTTAAGGTGCAAGTGGTACCAATGTAGTCCCGTTGAATTAGTTATGGGTGCCAACGGGTCTGGTAGGTGAGGTTGGATTGGATTGTAGTGATCGTATGGGACCTATATGTAGTTAAGGTGTAAATGGCACTATTGAAGCCTGCGCTCGCGCAGTTGGGGCGAATTGTGGACCAGAATTAAATTGCACAATTATACACACACGCACACACACACATACACACATACACACATACACACATACACCCACCCACCCACAAAATAATCAATAGCTAAGACGACTCTCCTGCCGCTCACATCGCTCTCTCTCTCACACTCACACACACAAACACAAAATAATCGACAGGTAAGACAACTCTTCTGAAGTTGCTGATCAACCAACTAGAGCCCGTCAAAGGAGACTTCAGGTGTGGTGTTGTTGTGTTGTTAGTCAAACGAGACTTCAGGAGTGGTGCTGTTGTGTTGTTCGTCAAACGAGACTTCAGGTGTGGTGTTGTTGTGTTGTTAGTCAAACGAGACTTCAAGTATGGTGTTGTTGTTTTGTTTTGCCGTGATGAAACGATACAGTTCACATGACTCATTGATGTCCATCTCATTGGCTTGGTTCAGTTGCTGTGCTGTGGTGCATGGTGTTCAATCGTTTATCTGATTCTCTCCATTGCAGGCAAAACCCGAAGGTCAAGGTCGGCTACTTCAGGTAAAGTCAAGTTATGAGTTTATATATACCGAGTTATGGGCTCATGTATGTTATAGGTTTATGTATGTTAACATATAGGCTCATGTATATTAAGCATATAGGTTTATGTATGTTAGCTTATAGGTTTATATATGTTAACTTGTAGGTTTATGTATGTTAGCCTATAGGTTTATGTATCTTAACTTGTAGGTTTATGCATGTTAACTCATAGGATTATAGGCTCATGTATCTTAACTTATGGTCCATGCATGTTACCCTTTAGATTCATATTAATTGATTGTGTCTTCAACGCGTGTCGGAGTTTCCTGCGCGGTCCACCCATTGGCAGTGTATGCGTTTGCCGAACTAAAAACATTCCAACAGTACTTATCACACAAGGTTTTTATTTTTAATCCCAACAGCCAGCATTTCATCGATCAACTGGATTACTCCATGAACCCGTTGAATCTGTTCCGTTCGCGATTCCCAGGAGTGTAGGTGACTGTTCGCACGAATACGGATCTTTAGATAGTACGCCTGTATCTGGATATAAGTATATATATATATATCTATATATATATGTATGTATATATGTATATATGTATATATGTATATA